ATATCTCTGGTGATCCTAGAACTATGTTGTGTTATTCTTGTACAATAGCATTGGATTTTGTAGTCTTTCTTCTTACCTCGATTTTTTTCTTTTCTTTTCTCCCTCTCTCTTTTTCTCTCTCATTGCATGTATATACCGCATTTTGTCCATCCATTCATCTCTTGGTGGACACTTGGGTTGTTTCCACCTTTGGGCTATTGTGAATAATGTTACTATGAATATGGTTGTGCAAGTATCTGTTTGAGTCCCTGTTTTCAATTCTTTGGGGTGGAATTGCTGGATTACATGGTAATTCTATGAGTAGCTTTTTGAGGAGCCAGCAAACTGTCTTCCACAGTAGCTACACCGTTTTATAATCCCACTAGCCACTAGTGTACAAGGGTTCCAATTTTTCCGCATCCTCACCAACACTGATTTTCCATTTTTTGCAATTGTAGCCATCCTAGTAGGTTTGAAGTGTTATTTATGGTGGTTTGGATTTGCATTTCCCTACTGACTAATTGTGTTGAGCATCTTTTTGTGTGGTTATTGGCGATTTGGGTATCTTCTTTGGAGATATACAAGTCTTTTGCCTACTTTTTTAATTGGGTTGTTTATCTTTCTGTTGTTGAGTTGTAGGAATCGTTTATATTTTCTGGAAATTTTGTATTGTTTTAAGCCGCTGTTTGTGGTCACTTGTTATGTAGCAGTAGAAAACTAATACATTTACCCTATCATTAACTGTGAAATCAAATTTTTAATAGTCTTATAAGAAGCTGTCTGTTTTTTCTATATTGTGGAATAGTCAGAATAACAAGAATGATCAGTTCCTTGGAGGTTAGCTAGAACTTTCCTGAGAATCTGTCTTGGCGTGATATTTTTTTGGGAGGTAGATCTTTGACAACCTTTTTAAAAGTTTATATTTTCTGTGTCTTCTTGAAATAATATTAGTACATCTTCTTGGTTGCTTACAGAAATAAATGAAATAATGCTTATTCAGTACCTTAACATGGTACTTGGTCCATGGAAAGTACTCAAAAAAGTGTTAGCTGTATTGTTGTTATAAGATTTTTCTCCTTATCCTGGAGTTCAGGTTATGATACCTAGCTGTGCCTAATGGTGTTTCTTAGTCAATTTTGTGTTGCTATAACAGAATACTATACTCTGAGTAATTTATAAAGAATAGAAATTTATTTCTCACAGTTCTAGAGGTTGGGAAGTCCAATATCAAGGTGCCAGCATCTGGCGAGGGGCTTCTTGAAGCATCATCCCATGGTGGAAAGCAGAAGGACAAGAGAGCATGTAAGAGAGAGAAAGAGAGAGGGGAAGGGGACCAAACTCTTCCTTTTATCAGGAACCCACTCCCATGATAACTAACTCATTCCCCAGAAAGTGGCATTAATCCTTTCATGAGGGCAGAGCCCTCCTGACCTAACCACCTCTTAAGGGTCCCTCCTCTCAACACTGTTGCATTGAGGATTAAGTTTGCAACACGTGAAATTTGGGGACACATTCAAACTATAGTAGGGTATATTTTTTGTAATCGTACCTGGTACTCATTGAGCTCCGTTGATCTGAAAACTCAGGTCTTTCTTTAGCTCAGGGAGATTTTATTATTTTCTCATTATTGCTTCTCTTCTACTTTCCCCTCTCTTTCTTGAATTTCTATTATTGAATATTAGATCCTCTGACCCTATTTTCCATATCTTTTACCTGTTCACTAATAGCTGCCATTTATTTAGGTTATTTTGACTCTGTGTTCTGGGATAATTCCTACAGTTCATCTTCAAGATCATTGTTTTGAGTTTCACCAAAGACCATTTTATTTTTCAGTGCTTCTGATGATTAAGTTCAGAAATGCTCTTTTTTTAAAATAAAATATTTCTAAGAGCTCTTTCTCACAGTTAGCTTTCTTACAATATTTTTTCAAATCTCTTTGGGAATTCGCTGAAGTGTTTGTAAGTGTTCTCTCTCCCACCAAGTCTGTGTCAACGGGGTGACACCCTCTCTGATTTTCAGCCTGGAGCCTCTATTAAGCTACGGTCACCTGCTTGTCTACTCACCGCACTCCTGGATCTGCCAGTGCCAGTCACAGGTGTGGGTTCCCTCTGCCCCTGGGTGTTCTGACCTCTGGAGTCATTGGTAGCAGCAGATGGCAGGTGGCAGTGACAGGCAATCTCCATTCAAAATAGCATCACTCCCTGACTTTCTATTTCCTTCCTTATGTGCTTTATTTTCTATATAGCACCTACCCCATCCTTCCGTCATATGCACACTTATTTCTTGATTGACTGTCTCTCCTGCAAGGCAGGAAGATCCATGAGGACAGGCACTAGAACAGTGCCCGGCACATGTGGGCAGTCCGTACATGTTTCATGAATGAGTGAGTGAGTGGATGAATGAATGATGGAGTAGTGTGGCCTTCTCTCAGGACTGGAGCTCCCTGAGGAAGGGACACAGCCGAGAGATCATTGTACACGAGAGCTGTACAATGACCAGGAGTGTTTACAGCAGGAGCATTGTGGATAAGAAGGATTCGTGCCTCCCTCCCCCAGCTAGCCTCAGTAGGAAATAGGACCAGGCAGTTGTGTAAGTTCCCCCACGTGGCAGATTTTCAGGGAGGCTGAGTGTTAGGGCCCAGGGTGTCACCTCCAAGGGCTGTCACTGCTTAGTCACTTTGAATGGCTTCAGCCACCTTCTTCCAGCAGGCCAGGCAGATCCACCTCTCACCACTCACTGGACTCCAGTCGACAACTCCCAGATAGACAGAGCCTCAGCCTTGTAAACTTCTGTTGATACAGACACAGGACCAGACTTTCCTTGTTGCCACTACAACCAACAGATGGAGCTAATTTGTGTGCCACTGCCAAGGCTTGCTCCTTACCCCACTCCACCCTGTCATCTAGGTGCAGCCTCCTAGACCTTTGTTCGTGCATTTACAGACATGAGTAGGTAGGCATGGAAATTTTATTTCATTAATTTTTCACATAAATAGCACTGTATAGAATGGTATGTATTCTTGTAGCACTTGCTTCTTTTCACCAATCCTATGGCTTGGAGATTACCCATGTTCACACATACAGCTCTGCTTTATTCTTTTTCACTGCTAGAGCGGTGCTGTCCAGTAAACCTTTCTGTAGCAATGGAGATGTCCTATATCTTGGCACTCTTATGCAGTAGCCATTAGCCACATACGGCTTTTGAGAACTTGAAACATGGCTAGTGGGACTGACAAACTGAATTTTTAATGTTATTTAATTTTCATGAACTTTAGTTTTAATAGCTGCATGTGGACATCAGGCTGGCAGCCACTGTGCTGGACAGCACAGCTCTGTCGCATTCTATCATATTCCACAGTATGACTATGTCACCACTTATTTGTCTTTCCCCTGTTGATGGGCCTTTAGGTCATTTGGGGTTTTTGCTTTTGCAAATAAATTTTCAAGGAGCATGCCTCAATCTGTTTTGTCAATAGCTACATACTATGTTAGTATGCAGTTTTGTGTTAGCAGTTGTATACTGTTCAAAATTGTTGCCATTGTGTTCCTTTTGACCCCTCACCAAGGTGGAAAGGCCACTTCCTTAAACACCATCAGTTTCAAGCCTGCCACTCTGATGTGCAGGTGTGCACGTGACCCTTTGCTTGTGTTAGATCTCTGGGAGTTTCAGCCCTGCTGCTGAGCCTTCAGTGTCGCCAGAGTCTGGAATGCCATGCCTAGCCACAGAAGGACCTAAGCACAAGCCCCAGCGAGATTAAACAAATCCTTCATGTGAAATAACCACATAATGAGGTCTTCAAGGCCCATGAATTTATGATGGGCATATACAGAACAAAATGATAAGCAAAAGGCAATCACTAACTCCAGGAAAAGCAAACAATTAAATAAGAAAGGAACTGTGATCATTAGTGTGCTGCGTGTTTTGGCTCTGAAGAATCGTCCTCACGTACTCCCTGCGGTAGATAGGATTTTGGTAGCCATGCTCTTTGCTCCCTGCTGTTATGCCTGTAAGTGCTTTATGCTACATGGCAAAAGGGATTTTGCAGATGTAATTATTGTTATGGGCCCTAAAATAGGAAGATTATCCTGGATTATTGGATGGGCTCAATCTAATCACTTGAGCCCTTAAAAGCAGAGAAATTTCTCCACCTGGGGTCATTCAGAGAGATGCTGTGGAAGAAGTCACAGAGGTCAGACAGATTCAAAGCGTTCTAAGGGAATCTAGCTGGCTGGGAAGATGGAGGGGGCAGGGTGGCCTCTACATGCTGAAATTGACCAACAGCCAGCAGGACACAGGGACCTCAGTCCTTCAACTGTAGAACTGGATCCTGCCAACACCCTGGATGGGCCTGGAAGTGAATTCTCCCCTAGAACCTCCAGATGAGAGCCCTTGATTTCAGCTTATGGATCCTGGAGCAGAGAAACCAGCTGGGCCTGCTAGAGATCTGACTTCCAGAGCTGCCAGATAATAGATTTGCATTAAGCTGCTACATAAGAAAGGAAATGTGACGGTTAGTGTGCTACCTGTTAGGGCGCATGATTTGTTACAGCTGTGATAGAAAACCGACACACTACCTAGTATCAATTCGGCCAAACAAAGTGCAGAGGTGATTCTGTTTGGTAGGGGGAGAGTACTAAAATAAACTGAATTCTCATCTTGCATGACAGGAAGTTAAAAGACTATATTTAAATCTTAAAAAATAGCAGCATAAGCATCTATAGAAATATGGCAGTAAATATTAAAAGAAACAGCTAAAAGTGTTACAAGTGACTGCTTCTGGAGTGCAGGAATTAAAGTGATGGGGCTGGGCAGGGGCTGCCAATTTTGTCATTTTAATCTTGGAGAGAACTATATGATTTTTAAATGCATGTTCCTGTGTTACTGCAATAAAAATAAAGAGGAACAAGTCCCGTCACCACCAGTGTAAGATATGCCCACCTCCCTAAGAGCCTGAGCAGGTGGGGTGGGGGCTGCCTGCCCTGCCTGCTGAGGGTGTGGCATCCCTGCTGTCTCGTCACCAGGGTGGAGGAGAGCAACAGCAAGCTCCTGGAGTCAGAGAGGAAGCTGCAGGAGGAGCGGCACCGCACCGTGCTGCTGGAGCAACATCTGGAGAAGATGCGCCTGGAGCCCGGGAGGGCACCAGCCTTGCAGAGAGCGGCCCCCAGGAACAAAACAGGTAGGGGCCAGGGCAGGGGTCCCAGCTTGGGGCTGGGGGCAGCCCTGCTGAGAATGGAGGAGCCAGTGAGCTGCACTGTCCAGCCCCCTCAGTGACAGTGTGGGAAGCAGAGCCTCCATCAGGGTGGGCTCTGCCTGTGCCTGCCACTGGGTGGCCTCTTCCCCCAGGCAGAACCCAGGCCCCAGAGCTCCATCGGCCCGTGGGCCTGCTCCGGCCACCTGTGAGCCCTTAGTGTGAGGTGGCAGTGCCTCTGCTGAATGCCCTCAGCCACCACCTCCTCTGCCACCCCTACCCCAGCCCTCCACCCTCTATCCTAAGCTAACTTTGTTCAAAGTTGGTCATGGGGCAAAGTTGGTCTGCTGGGGAGGCCATGGCAGCAGGGGCTGGAGCAGGAGAGGAGTCCTCCAGCGGCAGTCATGCTGATACAACCAGGGCTGAAGTGGCCTCTCCACAGGTTTGGGGACCCAAACTCCTTCTGTCTTGTGGCTCCACCATCCTCAACACGCAGCTTCCATCTCCTGGTCTGAGATAGCTGCTTGAGCTCCCCCCCAGCCCAGGAAGGGGAGAAGGGAAGGAGACAACCAGCTCCTTACCTTTTAAGGTTGCATGTGACACTTCTGCTCTCATCCCACTGGCCAGGTCCTAGACACAGGAGCACACGCAGCTGCAGGGGGAAGCTGGGGAATGCTGTTCTTGACTAAGGTCTGTCACTCTAACACAGTGGTTCTCAAGGTGCCGTCTCCAGACCAGCAGTGTCAGCAACCTATGGGGCTGGGGCGAGCTGAGGGTGCAGAGTGCCAGGGCCAGAAGCCGTCTCTGGGAGGGCTGACTCCCAGGGAGGAGGACTCTCCAGTGTGGAGGGGCTAGGCCTGGGACATCCCCCTACCAGACCCTCCCCAGCCAAGGTGCTGCTGCCCCTACTGCCCCGTCTCTCAGCACCCCATACATCCCCAATCCTGCCCGGGCCAAGGAAGCTGAGACCCTCATTCTCAGTGCCCAGCCCACGTGAGGTCAGAACGTTTCAGAAGGATGTGCCTAGAATAGAGCACAGAGTGGGAGCTGGAACCGCCTGCTCTCTTCTCTCCCACCAGCAGGGCCCAGGAGCTTCTGAGAGTCTGGGTGAGAAGGGTTCCTGGGGAATGTGACATATTCCCTCCTGGGCCCTGAGGAACATGTCTGCTAGGAGTATAGTGTCTCTAGGCCTCGTGCTCACCTCCTGCTGGGTAGCCGACTTCCAACCAGTGACAGCTAAGCCACAGCAGGAAAATCACTTTGGTCCTGCTTGGACAGTGGGGCCAACTGCCTGAAAGTGCCCATGTGGCCTTTGCCACCTGCTGGCCTGTGACGTGGGCAAAGCACTGCCACTCCGGGGAGCATAGCCCCACCACCTCCCCCCTCCCCCTGGCCAATTTGTAAAAGGAAGAGCCTGGATTCGCAGTGGCAGTTCCACTCCACAGGGGAGACAGACACCTGAGCAGAGATGGGGAAGGGGAGGGGTGTGGCAGGCAGGAACCCGGGAGAAGAGCAAGTGCAAAGGCACCTCGGTGGAGGCTTGGCTGGAGGAGGAGGTGGTGAGGCGGGTGGGGGTGTGAGGTGAGGTGGGAGGAGTCACGGGGTGCTGAGGAGGTGGTCCAGTCACAGAGGATCTTGAGGGCCAAATGTGATTTCATTGAGGCCTGACGAAGTTCTAGAGGCAAAAACTATCATCCCCTTTTTTCAGGCAAGGAAACCAACTCGGAGAGGCCAGGGGGTGAGGACAAGTCTGCTGATGCCAGGCGATTGCCTTCGGGCCACACCACCCCCTTTTCAGCACAGAGGTTTTCTGATGCCATGATTTTACCCAGGCTCCCCACAAGTTGGGCTTTGTCTTCTTTTTCTGAGCATTCTGTCACCCCTGACCCTAGGCACCATGATCCCCTGCTTCCTAGTATGGAGCTGCTGGCCTGGATGGGGACTGGTGGGGGGCGCAGTGGTGTGACAGCATCAGGTGCAGTTACAGCCTAGACTCAGGCTTAGCTTGCAGGCCAGACCCCAGGCCCATCTGCCTTCTCTTGTTGGAAGCAAATTACCAGAAGCTTATAGAGTGTAAAAATGGAGGTGGGAATGAGGAACCAGCCTGGTACAAAGCAGGCCGTCGGGGCTGGAGCAGAGGCCAGAGCCAGGGTGGGGGAATGCAGAGCAGGCATCAGGGAGGGCTTCTGGTGGGAGGCAGCCCTTGTCCTGCACCCAGAGGAGATGCCCAAGTGGAGAAGCAGACATCAGCAAAGGGGGAGGAGAAGGAAGGTGTTGGCACAGGGCTGTGGCCTCATCACAGAACGTGGCTGCTACTGCCCTGCAGGTCTGCCCGCCTCTAACACCAGGCACAACCCGACCGGGAGCGAGAAGAAGGAGCCATCCTTTGCCCAGCTCTCCGATGTGCCCATGGAGTCCCAGATGGAGGAGCTGACTACCAGGTGCTTCCCTGCCCACCTTCCTGAAAGGGTAGAGTTGTCTGGGTGGAGGTGCCTCGATGGGAGAGTAGGGACTATGTCCCTCCCCTTACACCTTTGACTTCTGTTTGCCCAAGAGGCTGGTCCTGCTTGGGCCTGGGTTCTAGGCCTGCAGTGCAGAGGGCAGAGGGCCCCAGCCGTGACCCTGATGACCCATAGTTCAAAGAGAAATTCTATCAAGTATGGGTTGCTGAACCCATCAAATGCAGCAATGGAAAAGGAGAGAGGGTAGACCTCTACAAATTAGTACTTGTCCTTGAGACAGCTGACATTGCTGGGTGTCAGGCCCAGGGCTATGGGTGGACCAGAGAGGAATCCCACATGATGTCCCCCAAGGGTCAGTAGGAAGAGGGGATGGGTCGGAGAGAACCCTGAGCCTGAAGAGCAGCCATGCTGGCAGCCCTACTCCCAGGGCCCTCCATCCACCCGCACGTGTGCCAGCTCAGGCCACACTGAGCCCTGTCTCCTGTGGTCCAGGCTGGCCACCCAGGTGGAGGAGAATGAGATGCTAAAGGCTGCCCTGGACAGTGCCCTGCAGGGAAAGGAGGAGGACTTCCGGATGTACCACGAGACCCTGGGCCAGGTGAAAGGGGTCTTCCTGCAGGCCCTGCGGCAGCAGAAGGCAGACAAGCAATAGGATGGCGGCCCAGTGTCAGCCTGGCCAGGCGGGGCAGCCTCAGATCTTGAGAAGATGAGGCTGCGACTGAGGACTCCATCTGCTCCAGGAAGCCAGCCTGGGGCAGCCAGCCCAGCCTCTTCCTTAAGAATGACCAAAGCCAACGTCTCAGGCCAGGAGGGCAAAGGAGAAGCCCCGGGCATGGGGCACTGCAGGGGCCCTGGGTGGGCTTGACTATAGCAGGGGAAGAGGCCCACCAGCCATTGGCAAGAGCTCTGGGACAGCAAGACAGCTGTGAGCAGACAGAGGGGGTCCCTCAGGCAGGTGCTCAATGCCCTTGTCCTAGGGCCTAGCTGGGGGACCCTGCATGCCCGCACGGCGCACAGGAGAGCCTCGGTGCTCCAGGCTGGGCACGTTCCCCCATGCCATGCAGCCCCACCCTGGCCCCCTCACCAGGATGTCCTCACCCCCACCCCGGTTCCATCTGTGGCCATCCCCACCCTCCACAGACTTGAGGCACCATATTTTCAGCCACTTTGTCAGCCCTCCTCAGGGCTCCTCCTCAGATGCCGACCCTCAGACTTGTAATAATAATTATTTTCATAATCACTGCAGCTCCCACTGAGTGAGCATCTACTGTGGAACCCTGGCCCACCTAGTCCTCTAATAACCCAGGATTGCACCCTATTTTACAGATGAAGAAACTGAGGCTCACAGAAAGAAGCTGAGCTGGTGTTTAACGCTGACTGACTCCAGAACCAGGGTCCTGTGGTTGAGCAGATGACCCAGGGCGGGTGCCCACCCACACTGGGCAGCTCTGCCCCTAGCAGCTGCTCCAAGGGGCACCTCTTCCTGCTCCCCAGGCTGCAGCTGGGGGATGCTGGTGGCATAGTGGGGCTCAGCCAGAGCTCTGAGCAGAAGGGTTTTGAGGCAGTGGGTCCAGGCGAAGGTACAGTGCCCCACCCTCGCTGTGGTGAGCTGGGAAGGCTACTGCAGGTGGACCCCAGGACTCCATGCCTCTCTGTGATTGTCACAGTGTCACCCCCTCTCAGCTGCAGTTATAGAGATAGGGAAGGGTGGCCCCAAGGAGGGTCACCCATAGCCACATGCCCCAACCCCAGGCACCCTGGCTACACACGTGCACCCGCAGGCCCACATAGAGATGCAGGTGCACGTGGACACCTAGCTTCAGGAGCATGCAACCGCGTGCACACACTCACAGGCACCTCCGTGTGTGCACGGGTAGACACGCACACTGGCACAGACGAGCGTGCATGCATGTGAACATGGAAACATCCCCACATGTGAAGACACAGTCACTTGTGTGTTTCGTGTGCAGTGACACACAGATGCAGGTGCACGTAGTTTGAAAACACCCCCTCCACCAAAGAACAGCCACCTGGAGCTTCTCAGACCTTTCCTCAGGGACGGCCGCCACCCCCAGCCCCCACTCAGGGAGCCCTGACCTTTATCAGGTAACACAGCAAGGTGGAGCGAAGGCCATCGGGTTGAAGTCGTGATTCTGATGGTGTCCTAAGGGTCTCTGGGAAGGAAGAGTTCTTCCCTGGCTCGTTGTGAGGGGAAATGGCCAGGCAGAGCACCAGGAGTGAGAGGACCTGTGGTAGAGGGGACATTGTGTGACAGGAAGGAGCAGGCCAAACGCAGAGTCTGAATGCCGGACAGTGTAGTCCGCACCTTCTCCTGTAGGCAGCGGGGAGCCCCAGAGGGTGATCTGACTGTGGGGGGTGCAGGCTCTGGTCCTCAGGGGAGTTCTTGAGAGTGAAAAGCAGGCATAGGACCAGCCATCCTTCCTCAAGGTCACCTCAGGGCAGTGCAGGGGTGGCGTGACTCACCCTCACCTCTCCAGGGTGGTTCTGCTGCCCTTCCCGGCTCAGGGACGGGTCTGAGAGAGGAGGGAGCATCAGATCACAGACTCTGAGCAGGTGGGGGTACCTGGGGCAGATTTCTTTCTCCACTTGCCAATTGTGTGGCCTTGGGCAAGTTACTTAACCTTCCTGAGCCTCCACACTCTCAGCTGTAAAATGGGGCCAATAATAGAAACCTTCCTAAGAGGGCTGTCATAGGTGTCAAAGAATAACCCAAAGACATTAGGCTAATTATTAGCTTGCTGTTTATTTCTGTACAAGGAACAGGTATCCATAGATTGATTTCATCCGACAATAATAAAAAGATTTACATAAGAGAGGGGAGAGAAAAATCATGGGCACAGTAAATCTTGTCTGGACATTTTTGAGTAAATTATTTAGCTGGCATCTTGCTTCAGCTGACTTTGGGTATAAAGATGAGTGTTTCAGTTTACAGATTCTACAGGCAACCTTGAGAGCTTTGCTGTGGGGTCATGGTGCTGTGTGCCAGGAGTCCCTGTCATGTCTGCCACCAGCACTCCCGGCTTGGTGAGACCGGGTTGGCTCTATGTCCTCATTAGAATCCTCTGCAGGCTTCATTGAGTTAGAAAGTGTCCAGTGCTTGGAGGAGGTGGCACACAGTTGAGCTCAGTAAATGGTCGCTCTTGGTATTGCCTCCATTAGTTCAGCAAATGCTGTTGAGCAGCTCCTCTGCCCTAGGCACGGAGGTGCCGGAGTGTGGCAGACACAGTCCTGATCTCCAGGAACTCCCAGGTCAGCTGGGGAGAGAGGCAGACTCCGCACAGGTCAGCACTCTGTGTGGCCAGTGAGAGCCAACTGCACGCAGCCTCTCCAGGCCCGGGGAGGGGCCTGGAGGTGAATCTGACTTGTTGCTTCTTTGGGGGCGCTCCAGGCCCAGTCAGAGAGGCGTGGGAAACAGAGCTCCATGCCAGCGCTGCGGGGGTCGGGGGAGGATGCAGAGACGGCACCACGGGGCCTCCTGCCTGCCCCCATCCCTGCTGTGGCTCCCAGACTCCTTGACCAGATCTGGGTGCAGGGGTCTGTCAGGGAGCCATGTGTCCTTCACCTCTCCCTGGGCTGAAGGGACAGGGAGCGGAAAAGGCCCAGGAGATCCTGGGAGGGGGACTTTTAAGGGAAGGAGGGGATGTCAAAGGGGCCAAGGACTGGGCCCCTGAGGGATCTAAGCCAGGTGGGGAGTAGCACAGCCAGGTTAGTGCCAATGGCCTCTCCCAGGCAGCAGCACCTGTCCCTGGGACCCTGAGGATGACCTCCCCATCCCTCAGGCAGGTGGGCAACAGGTGGGTGGGATGAGAACACCAAGGTCCCTGCCCAGAGCCACAGGGCAACAGTTAAGGGAGGGTGCAGGTGCCCTGGAGGGCTGAGGGGCAGGGCAAGTGAAGAGGCAGGTGGCAGAGTGACCTCACAGGAGGACCCCCTGGCCGCACCCCAGGCAGGCGCTGTGGGTCTGGGTGCTCAGGGTCCAGCACTGACAAGCAAGACCTGGTTGAGCTGTGGATGTGGTTTGGCCACTGTCCCTGTGGGGGCATCTGGGGCACCACAGCTCAGCTAGACAAGATGGCAGCCTGGCTCGGGCTCACTCAAACACATTCCACTGCCACTGGGCCCCTCCCCTGCTCCGAGGAGCCCAGGGCAGGGTGGGCTCCAGGGGGATGCTTCTCTGGGCCCCTGTATCCTGTTGCCAGAACCAGCCTCTCCTCCCCGCTCCCCGCAAGCCCACAGCCAGCCCATAGCCAGCCCTTCGCACAAGAAATCTTTCCCTCTGCCACCTCTGCACAGGTGTGCTTTTACCTGCACTGTGTCTCCTCCAGCCCTGAGCCTTACACACGACACACACACACACGACTCACACAAGATACACACACATGCACAACAAACACGTCGTAAACAACATGCAACACAAAACAGGGCTGGGCACAGTGGCTCATGCCTGTGATCCCTGCACTTTGGGAGGCTGAGGCAGGAGGATCACTTGAGGCCAGGAGTCTGATGTTGCAGTGAGCTCAGATCACACCACCGCACTAGAGCCTGGGGGACAGAGAGAGCCCTGTCTCTAAGGGAAAAGTGAAACAAATAAACAACCACAAATCATATACATGCAGACTCCACACACACACACACAACTGATACAAAACACAATTGCGCACACACACACATACAAACAGAAGATACATTCCTACTTTCCTCACATTTTTACTGTGAGCAACAAACAACAACAAAAAAATGTTTGAAAATAGAAAACGGGCTCTAAGGTTTGAGAGAGTAGAGTAGGCCCCTTCCCCACCACATCTTTCCCAGTGGCCCTTGTGGCATTTGGGAAGCTGACCCCTGAGCCTCGTGCTGGTCTTAGCCCGGTCAGCTTCCTGGCCCTCATTTGCGGGGCCACACCAATCACCTCCCCTCCTGCCGCCCCTCACACTGTGTGGAGCTGGGATTGGGCTATCCGGCCCCAGATCCAGGGGGCTCCCTGGCACTCCACCCCTCTTGCCAACCCCACATGCCAAACTCCCTGCAGACTTCACTGCATGGGGTCACGTGGAGAGCATCTCACTGCTGCGTGTGAGTCCCGCCTCTCTGGGCCTCTGGAATCTGGGGTCCGTGGCTCTCTAATAGCCTCTCTTTATAAGCAATCAGTGAGCTAGACCCTTGTCATGGAGTGAGTTGCCAGATCCCCCCAAGAACCCAGCGAGGCTGGGCTGCCATATGCACACAGAGAAGTGGATCACAACAGCTCAAGTCAGTTGGCTGAACATGTTTTCTTAATCCTGGACCCAAAAACTCTGCTTCCTTGAGCCATTCTCTTCGAGCCCCTGAGGGCACCAGATGGATGGCTGGTCTAGGCCACCCCCCAGTGTGGATGAGCAGGGTTCTCGCCCCTGCAGGGCGATCAGTTCCAGAAAGGTATGGAGCTGACCCAAATATTTAAGCTCCTGTGCGTCAGTTTCCTCTTCTTCCAACTGGGGATAATGGTAGCACCTTTCCTGTGAGTTATGGCGACATTAAAAAGTGAATCCATGTACAACCTGGCTACTATGGTTAACTTACTCCTCTTCTAACAACTGCATCCCCCACCAGGAAGCCCTCCTTAGCCCCCACAGTCTGGCTCAGGTACCTTCCTTCCCCGACACCGGCCTCCTCCAGTGCCTGTTATCCAGACCACAGCCCTTCCTGCTTCTCGGGGTCAGGGACCACTGACACGGACCTCTGTGCCATCTGTGTGGGGTGTGTGTGTGTTGGAGTCTCCTCGCTGCTCCCTCTGGGAAGAAGCTCACTGCCCAGGTGCCTAAGTGCAACCTCTCTCCCTGCCCCAGGCCTTACTCAGGCCCTAGAAGGGCCCCTGTTGTTGGGGGACACAGCACCTTCCTCTCCCACCCTTAGCTGAGCCCGTGTTGGGATCAGGGTGAGCAGGGGCTCCAGGAGCTGTCCTGTGATTGCAGTCACAAAGCTCCTTCTCCCCCCAGACCCTCCCCCTGAGCACATACATGAACAGGCCTCCACAGACATGGCATGAATACACACAGCTCTTCCAGACTCGGTCTCATCCCAAAGGGGGACGATCAGGGGTTCCTAACCTCTTGGGGGGCCCTTCAGGATACCCCACCCCATCAGGTAGCCAGGGCCGAAGCCTTGGCTTCTCCCTTCAGAGTGAGGGCCCTGCCCCCCTCAAGGAACTCAGTTGGTTAGGGACATTCCTGTCTGCCTCCACTCCG